AAAGTACCTACGCATATCACAATATAAGCACAATATCACAACTCGGCATAAATAAATAAATGAATACATACCAGCCACGACATCGGGCGTTGCACGGACCTCCTCCGCTGTCAACTGGAAGGCTCTCCCGCGAGCCTTCGGTGCCTCGGCCTTCACTGGCCGACCCTCAGTAGCTCGTGCAGTAGCAGGGGTAGATCCTTGCGCTGATCCCTGTGACAGCTGTGGGCACTCGGCCCTCCGGTGACCCGTCTGGTTGCAATGAAAGCAAACCATAAATCCCTTGGGGAAGTCCTTGGCTATATGCCCCTCCTTGCCACATTTGTAGCAAGCACCCGCCTGACACACTCCATCATGTCCCTTGTCGCACTTCCCACAAGTGCGGCCCTTCTGGCCTCCAGATCTCGTATCAGCGGGCTTAGCCCGCTTGGCTACCGGCTGTACCTGTACCGGTCGCCTGTCACTCCTCTGAGACTCGGCCTCCTCTCTGGCCTAAGTCTCTAGCTCAATCTCCCTCTTCCGGGCATTTGCCTGAAGCTCGGCAAACCATCTGGTACGTCGAGTTCGCCACGAACTCGCGAATGTCTCTCCTCAATATGCTTAAATACCGGCTCATGCGTGCCTGCTCGGTAGACACATGCTCAGGGCAAAACATCGCCCTCTCATGAAACATCTTGGTGATCACAGTAACAGAATCAGTACCCTGCTTGAGGGACAAGAACTCCTGGGCCAGCCGTTCCCTTTCCACCGGGGGAACGTACTCATCACGAAACATAGTGGTGAACCTCTCCCAGGTCACCGCAGTAAGCTCAGCAGGGGTGAAATCCGCCGACACAAACTTCCACCAGTCCTTCGCCCCCAAGCGAAGCTGGTTCAGCGCGAACCGTACTCTCAGATGCTCCCGACACGAGCAGGTGTAGAAGCATCCCTCAATGTCAGAAATCCATCTCATCGCAGCAATCGGATCATGCGTCCCATCAAACTCTGGTGGCTTCGTGTTGCTGAACTCTCGGAACAGCAATGAGTCACCCCCCTGAGGTCTAGCAGCAGCAACAGCTGCAGTAGCTGCAGCGGCTGTAGCCTCAGTAACCGCTGCGTATCTCTCGTCAAACGTCTCAATCAGAGTGGTCTTGATAGACCCAAACATCTCTGGTATCTCTGCACGGATAGCCGCAACCACCTCATCGTGGATCATCTGACGAAGCTCCTCATCACTCACGCCGCTGGTCTCTGCTCTGTGGCGTGTCCCAACCATGATGTCTCTGAAATACAACATAAAAATATCAGAGAATCGCTCGAGTATGCACGCACTCGATAACCCATCCCTACTTGTTCCTTAGTACCCTAAGGATTCTTACTTGGACTGCGCACTGATCCGGTGTTTTCAGTAGTATGGGCCCTATACTACCGTCCACACCGCATCAGTATTCACCCCAAGTCCTCCTCCTAGGATCCCAGATCACAAGTACTCTACTTCTTGCTAAGCACAGGCTACCCTTCGGTAGGCCCCTCATAAGCTCCTCACTGCTACCTACTCACTCTCAAACATCTCATAACAACAGTAATCTCCTAGGCTAAGGCATCACAAATCAGGCCACTCTAGTCCTAACATGAATACCTAGCCTTCTCTAGCATACATAACATATCATATCATATCTCATAACACATAATGTAAGGGTATTTTGGGAAATCACCGTTCGGGCGCTGACTAATCGTACACACTGTTTCTTTCCGCTTTTCTCAAATTCTTTTACTTTTTAGAAAAATTGTTTCTTTTGTGAAAAACTTTCTCAAATCCTCAGTTTGAGTTCAGATACGCCCAGAGGTGTATCTGAATCCCTCAAACCAAGGCTCTGATACCAACTTGTAACAACGTAAATTTTCAAAACAATTTTTCATTTTTAAAACATAATGTCATTCATAAGATATCATAAGAATCCATTGTGTCACATGTCATCATAATAAAACAAATCCCAATATCTCTAATACATAAATCCCATCAGTGTGTACAGATCATGCCGGCGCCTTTCCGCGATCCTCACTGGTACCGGAAACACATCACACAAACACTGTAAGCATAAATGCTTAGTGAGTTCCCCAAAATACCACATACGCACATACACCACTCAAGGCTATAGCTCTACAAGACCTTCCGGTCCATGTGTCTCAGGGGACTTCCGTCCCACAATCCTGGTTGACCTTTCGGTCCATATCATAATGACCTTCCGGTCCATAACATAATGACCTTCCGGTCCATAACATACTACTCATAACATAACATAGCACATACATGTTAAATAACAACATACATCACATACTCCTCATAACACATAAGACTTCCGATCACACATATTACCACTCTAGGTAAAGTATAGTGAGAAGACTCACCTCGTACGATGTCAGATAACCTCTCGTGCTCGATAACCCGACCTAGCCTTCTCCTATCAACATAATAACATCTCTAATCAATACTTTCTCTTGTCCTCATTTCTAAGGAGTGGGTAGAAGACCATTCTACCCCTCCCAGATCTTTCTCTAGAACTAGCTTGACCAGAACCCTAAGGTCAACTGAAGTCAACTCAAGTCAATGGTCAAACTTTGACCAGACTCGTCGAGTACACTTGTGTGACTCGGCGAGTCCGGTGTCTTCCGAATCCTCATAGATCCTCACTCGACTCGTCGAGTTAACCTTTCACTCGACGGGTTACCACCGGTCATGAATCGCGGGGCAGCCCGACTCGACTCGTCGAGTCCCCTTATAGACTCGGCGAGTTCCTTCCATGGCAACACTCAAATGACCTTCTGAGGTCATATCTGTTTTTCTAACCTATAGATCTGACCTTACCATACTCAATAATCACGTAAAGGTCCGACCTTTACACTCATGCAACGTTCAATATGCTTCTTTTGGTGAAATAGCCTCTAAAATGGCAACCTAGGCTCATATCTCTAAGGAAGTAGCATAAAGCAGGGAGGTTGGGGCTCTCTGGATCTCTCAAGGTCCAGATCCAGAGTTTAACACTCAAAGGGACATCATAAGCATCATATCCAAGCCAATAAAGGATAGAGAAAACCCTAGATTCAAGGGTTCTTCACCAAAACAGAAAATGGTTCGATTTAATACCTCAAAGATGGAGTTTCCTTGCTTAAAATCACATAATAGCAACCCCCTTGACCTTCTTTTGTTGGAATCTCCTTCTTCTTTGCAAAAACCACACCAACAAGGATTAAAATAGCCTTTCTCCTCACACCACACACTTAAGCTCACTAGGGTTTCTCTCTCTGGACTGGTAGCCGCAAATGAGGGCCATAAGGTTCCTTAAATAGGGCACAGGCCCGAGGATTTAGGGTTTCCACCCACAGCGCCTACTCGGCGAGTCTACTCATGGACTCGTCGAGTAGTTCATTAAACTTACGTGGCCACCCCGCTTCTACCCGACGGGTTATAGCACCTACTCGTCGAGTAGGTCAATGATTCACAAAAATAAATAATTAAAATAATATACCTGGAAATCCGGGTGTTACAACCAGAAGGATTGACAGATACTATGGAAGTACAGGTAGTGCCAGAACAAGTGTTGAAGTTGAGGAAACATCAAGGAAAGCAGGAAGTTTTGGTGAAATGGAAGGATTTACCAGAGGTTGAGGCGACCTGGGAGGATATCGAAGTTATACGAGCTCAATTTCCTGATTTCCACCTTGGGGACAAGGTGGATTTTCAGGGGAAGGGTATTGATATGAATCAAGGGAGATGGGCCCGAGTTTATAAGAGACCCAACGCAAGGGGCGATTAGTAATTTAATTAAAGTTAATTATAGACTTTATTTTTTGTGATTAAGTTTCCTAGTATGGTGATTTCCGTTTATGTTTAAATAAGGGCTAGGGCCGGCTTGGGGAGGGGACGGGAATTAAGATCTTTAATCTTTCTTTGTGGAGATCTCTCAGAGCCTCATTGTTGATTTCTTTTAAGCATTAAGCTAATAGTAGTTGCAACTTTGAGTCCGTTCATATTAGCATCCAACGTAAACTGCAATAATGACACAAACTAGCAACAACTGCGTCATTTTTTATGTTTATAAGAAATTTCAAATTGTCTATCTAACCATATGCAACCTAATATATCCATCTCATCAGACATCAACTCATTTTCTGCCCTTTTTTCCTAGAAACACACATTTTATTGGTTTAATTGCTGACCTAGATACATAGTCATAAATGAGCACATGAGATGGATATCAAATTTTACAGTAAATGTAGCACCATATAACCCATTTTATCCATCTTATCAACAAATTTAATGACTAGGTGTCTAAATCAACAATGAAACCGATAAAATGTACGTTACATGGAGAAAATGGCTAAATCATCACTAAATTTTAGTTTGGGACTAATTCGTAAATTATGGTAAAATAATGGAACTTTAATGAAACAGGTAAGTAATGAAACCGGTAAACCAGGAAAAAGGGGTCAATTCGCCATTTTTACCGGTAATTTATGTTTTTTCGTAAACAAAATTTAGTTTGGGACTTTTTCGTAAATTAGGGTAAAATTTTAGGACTTTTCTGGAGATTTCCCTAAGTTTAATTACTTGTGTTAATCATGAAACTAGTTCTACACCATGCGAGTTTTCCTTCTTTCTTTTTTCATCCCCTGTTTCCAGAAAAAAGTTGTTCCTTATTTGCTTTCTTTTTTCGCCTGATTTATGGATGAGCTAAATGCAATGTATAGCAACATACTTCCATATATTTATGTTTCAGTTCTTTCTGATATAGCATGTATTTTTATTTGTTTTGTTATCAATGCATTTTGTACTTTGAAAAATCTACCAATTTATAGAATTGAACTTTCAAAAGCTTTTTCTTATGTGGATGACATTGCTATAACTGAGTAAAAATAGGAAGAAATATGAATAAATTAATGAAAGTGTTGCTATTTCTTGCATTAATTTATATTTATACATACATCAACAAACAATCAAGACGAACGTGATTGGAACCTTGAACATGTTGGGACTAGCCAAACGAGTTGGAGCTAGGTCAGAAACTTGTGTTTTGTATTTATACTTTTGTTAGACGAATTTTATAATGTTGTTGTTATGTTATGTTTACAGAATATTGCTGACATCAACTTCAGAGGTTTATGGAGATCCCCTTCATCCTCAGGATGAGACTTATTGGGGAAATGTCAATACAATTGGTAAACTTAACCACGCTTACACTTTCACATACCCTTTAATATACATTTCATGCTACTGTGACCATGTGATGAGAAAAAAAAGGCAATCTGTTATGTAACCTTATGCCTATTGCAGGAGTTAGGAGTTGTTACGATGAGGGAAAGCGAGTAGGTGAGACTTTGATGTTTGATTACCATAGGCAGCATGGAATAGGTGAACATTGTCTTACCTTTTTGTTATGATGAGTACATAAATGATCCTTGATTGATGAGTAGCATTTATTTCTCTCTATTACATCATTATATTATAACATCCCGCTTTCATTTCTCTCGATATTTTTCTTATTAAGGCATTGTACTTTAAAAAATCTAGCCCTTTATAGCATTGTGGTTTGTATTTTGTATTTTGTTTTTCTTATTAGGACATTGGTAGATTGTTTGAAATAAGAATTAAGTAAGTTGCATTGAACAGAAATAAGGATTGCTAGGATATTCAATACATATGGTCCAAGAATGAACATCGATGATGGTCGTGTTGTCAGCAATTTCATAGCTCAAGCATGCCGGTAACAACATAATACATAATACACATTTTACATCTTTCACTTTTAGTTTTACCCACCCCTCCCTCTTGGGGCTTGGCTTGTTTTGTGTTTGTTTCATCTTGACTCTAATGTTGTCACTCAATTAATTACCAATTGCAGGAATGAGGCGTTAACTGTTCAATCACCTGGAACTCAGACTCGAAGTTTCTGTTATGTCTCTGACATGGTAAGCTACTACTACTACATACAAACAACTTGTATATTCTTCTACTTACATTGCAAATCAAACTTTAAAGTGGTTAACTTGTTATGTTTACTAATTACCAGGTTCCTGGTCTAATAAAAATTATGGAAGGAAGCCATACAGGGCCAATCAACATTGGAAATCCAGGCGAATTCACCATGATTGAACTTGCTGAGACTGTCAAAGAGGTTTGTTACTTAAAACTGCAATTGGTCTTTTTTTTTGTTATAATAAAACAGTACATGCAATGAATGAATGAATGAATGAATGCATCATGGGTTTATTTATTATGCAGTTGATCAACCCAAAAGTAGAAATTAAACATGTAGACAACACACCGGATGATCCTCGCCAAAGAAAGCCGGTGATCACCAAGGCCAAGGAGTTGTTAGGCTGGGAACCAGCCATCAAGTTGCGTGAGGGCCTTCCTCTCATGGAACAGGACTTCAGACAAGACTCCTTGGACTCACCAACAAACCATAACACCTACCACTTCACTTCTTAATACACACAATTTTCCCCATATTTTCAGTTTAAAAAAAAAACATGTAACACCCATATATCTTATCTATTTACAAATAAAATGCCCCAACCTTAATTTCATCATTATCAAATGCACCAGGCCAAGCGTTGAGGTTATTATCACTCAAATTTCAGAATCATTGTTTAATACAAACCAACTCATAATCAACTCCAAAACAACACAACAACAGAGAATGTTTAGTAAGCCAAGACATTCACTCAAGCATAAGCTTGATTTCACCAACAAAACATTCAAACAAAAGAGACTTGTTCATATTTTTAATCAGCAGCAAATAACGCCAGGCCATAAACAACACGTGATATCAGGAATTCACCACAAAAAAAAAAAAAAAAAAAAAAATAGAAATCCATCAATCACTTTGAACATATCATGGAAAAAGAAAGTAATTATTATTATCGTCATCCGTGGGACTCGAACCCACGACCACGCGGTTAAAAGCCACGCGCTCTACCAACTGAGCTAGAACGTCAAGATGCTTTTGTAGATAATCGTTGATATTTAAACTAGGTAGAATATCACCTCTTTATCAAAGTAAAATTAAATATCATTTTTTGCAAAAATATCAACGCTTCCATGGCTAATTTTATTCGAGTAAAAGTAACTACGGTTATAATAATTTAGGGTCCGTACGATTTAAATTTTCATAACCAAATGATAACAAATTCAATATAAGCCAATTTTATTATTAATCCTCACCAAACGAAATGTTATTTTTTTATATTTTCATTTTGTAAAATGTTCTCATATAATAAACGTTTTAGAAGTATAAGTGACTCTTAATTGACAACCTCTTAACTTTTCACTCTTTAAAAATATATTTTAATCTTTTATTTGCTTCTTGAAAAATCAGATGCTTATCTATCTTGAATTAAACCAAAAGACAATTATACCCTAAAATTAAAACACGGGAACTTCGCCAGCCTCCGCCTCCGCCACTTCTGCAGGTAAGGATTTCCTTCTCTTTTTCCCCTGAAATCGAGTTCTGAAAATCGATGTGGTAATGTCCTCTGAAAATCGATGGTTGTATATGTATATGTAGTTCTTTTTTCTTTTCTCTGTCCTCTGAAAATCGATGGTCGTAATATATCAGGGCTGTTTTGGTCTTTTTCTTTTCTTCCTGAAATACCTTTTCTTCCTGAAATACCTTTTCTTGATGTATTAATGCTGAAATCTGATGTATTAAAGCTCATTGTGGTAATGTCTGAACACAAAAATCTGATCTGATTCTTTTTTTTTTTTTTTTCTGAAATCATATTAATAGTTTGAAATGTCTATTTTTCTGAAATCAGATGAACACATCAGCACATATGATTTCAACATTTCAAACCTCATAACATCAAGTTTCAGATTTCAGCATCAAACAATAACATTCGTGGATTTGGATTTGTGTTCATTTTGATTTATGTTCGATTTGGATTTTATATGATGTTTATGATTTTTTTAATAATTATTTAAGAAATTTTTTCGATTTTTTTATATAAATAGACTTTTGAATTCACTAAAAAATAATGGAGAAGGGTAGAATTGTCATCAACCAACATGTTAAAATCTTAGAAATTCAGAACAAATGATAACAAATTCAATATAGCCAATTTTATTATTAATCCTCACCAAACGAAATGTTATTTTTTTTATAATTTAATTTTGTAAAATGTTTTCATATAACAAACGTTTTAGAAGTATAAGGGGGTGTTTTGAAAATAATCAGAATTTAATACCGTAATTTACTGATGTAAAATGGGACAAGCGACTCAAGCCGCATACCAAAAACACCCGACGAAAATCGACGACAAATCCATAGTCCATTTCCGCCGTATTCCGTCACCCCCGGCTTCCTAGTCATTGGGGGTTTCGACGTCGCGCCACCTGGCCAGCGTTTTGTCTCGATCGTCACTCTTTTCTTTCATCACTCTTCAACACTTCATTAACCAATCGTAAGTAAAACCCTTTACAAATGACATGCAGTAGGATTTACGAATAATTTGTTACTTAATTGATAATTTGGATTTTAGAGTTGACTTGGTGATTTTTGTTCTTAGTAACGGTTTAATTATTTATACAGTTAGCTGTTCAGCTGAATCTGCTAAATGTATACTTCCCCTAGAAAAAAACGAGAAGAAATTGCAATGTGTATACTTGGATTAAGAACATAATAATGTTGTTTGTGTGGATGCTTATTTTTATTTGGTTATGGACTTATAAGTTGGATGTTTTCTAGGGTAGATAACTGAACATATACTCTGTCAGCTGTTTGCATCCCTTCTTTTATCTCTATCTGTCATCCGATGTTGAATATTATGAATGTTTAAAGTAAAAATCAGTATTGCATGGAACATATATGAATTTCTTTGTTCTCTGTACACTTTATTCCTTCATGATCTTAATTTACAAATTACATGTGAAATGATTGTTTGCAGTAATGTCAATTGGAGCCTACAGTCAACTGATTTTCAGTCAGAGCCCTGCTTCCCCTCGATTTTGTTCTTTACACCAATCAACGATTGGCTCCTTCAGAGCTCTAGCATCCAGGTTTTTCTGCCAAATGAAATCCCCAATATGTTTTTATTTGCCTCTTTAACCTTCTTGTTTGAGCTGGATTGATTGTATATATTCTTATATAAATAAACTGAATCCTAGTCCCTCTACTTTTGGTTGTCTACAGGCAATTATTAAGTAAAAGCCACACAAGTTTTTTACCAGGTATAACTAATACTGTATCACTACAGGGATTCTATAATTTATATTCTCTAACTTGCATTCACATGTAAATTGTATTAATGTGGAATGGTTTTCTTCTTCCAAAAATGTTAACCTATTTGTTTCATTTCAGTACGACTTTCTAACACTGTTAGAAGTGCAATGAAATCGTATAAACTATCTGAGCTTACACCAACTGAGGTTGACAATCTCAAGGCTCGACCCCGAATTAAATTCTCTTCCATTTTCAGCACAGTGAGTCTCTTTCTGTTTTTTTCTTTTGGGAAAATGTCTTTCAGAATCCTTATATCTGGATGAATTACTGAAGCTCACTGACAAAATTGTTTTACTTCAGGTCCAGCCGATTGTTGATGATGTTCGCAACAGAGGAGATGCTGCTGTTAAAGAGTCAGTACTCTTTTTTTTTTTTAATCAATGGAGTGTTTGAGTTTCTTTTTGATTAAATGTTTGCACCCAAATGATGTTCTATGTCTTGTTTTGCAGTTATACTTTACGCTTTGACAAAGTTGAATTAGAAAAGATTATTGAAAATGTGAATGAACTTCCAGATCCAGAGGTACTTACTTGTATAGTTGTATAAAGTATAAACACACCAACACCAAAAAGTATGCATTTTTATTATCTGGAATAATTTATCTCTATTTTTAACCTTATTTCAGCTTGATGAAGCTGTTCGTGAATCGTTTGATGTGGCCTACAGCAACATCTATGCATTCCATGCTGCACAAAAACCAGTGGAGAAAGTTGTTGAGAATATGAAAGTAAGTTGTACACATTTTACGAATTTAGTCCCTCAACTTTTGAGTTAATATCGTTCTTTTGTGAGTTTTTTAGGGTGTGAGATGCAAACGAGTGGCAAGGAGCATTTCTTCTGTTGGACTTTATGTTCCAGGTGGCACTGCAGTTTTACCCTCAACAGCTCTCATGCTTTCCATTGTAAGAAATAATAGTTATCTCCATTGGCATTATTAATTTATTATATTTAAAGAAAATGGTTGTAATTTGAGTTTTTGCTTATTATGTCCATCAGCCAGCACAGATTGCAGGGTGTAAAACGATAGTGCTTGCAACTCCTCCCTCTAGTGATGGAAGCATATGCAAGGTATTTGTTTCCATCTGGATGAGTTAAGTTATTTTTATTTAAATTATTTACAAAATTTAAGAGTGACAATGTGTAGGAGGTACTATATTGTGCGAAAAAAGCTGGTGTGACTCACATTCTTAAAGCTGGTGGAGCTCAGGTTCTCTACAACACCATTTATTTATTTTATTTTTTTCTCTAGAGAAAGTTGTTCTTTTTTTGTGATAATTTGAAGCTTTTGTAGGCCATTTCTGCTATGGCATGGGGGACAGCAACATGTCCTAAGGTTGAGAAGATATATGGCCCTGGAAATCAGTATGTGACAGCTGCAAAAATGATTCTCCAAGTATGTGATCCCATTTGTGGCAAAATGAATAAATAATTAAGACATTATATAAAAAAAAAAAAAAAAAAAAAAAAAAACTAACTATTTTTGTATATTGACAGAACAGTGAGGCTATGGTATCCATTGACATGCCTGCAGGACCATCTGAAGTGCTTGTGATTGCTGACAAATATGCTAGTCCGGTTCACATAGCTGCAGATCTGCTTTCTCAGGTTACTTTTTCAAATACCCCGTTATTATTAATTATTATTATTTATGGAAAATTGATATTTAATTTTCTACTTTTAGGCTGAGCATGGGCCAGATAGCCAGGTGGTTTTGGTGATTGCAGGAGATGGTGTGGATATAAAAGCCATTGATGAAGAAATCACCAAGCAATGCAATAGTCTCCCAAGAGGAGACTTTGCTTCAAAAGCTCTTAGCCATAGCTTTACTGTATTTGCACGCGATATGGTAGAGGTTAGTTTTTCTTTTCTTTTCATTTTATTTTTTATAATGGGTAATCTCTAATGTTTTTGACTTTTAACAACCTGAATCTCAGGCGGTTACTTTTTCTAACATGTACGCACCCGAACATCTGATCATTAATGTTCAAGACGCAGAAAAGTGGGAAAGTTTTATCGAAAATGCAGGTGAACATCACTTGATACATCTGCCATAAATGATAAATTAAAAAAGGTAGTGAAATTTTTAATTTTTTATTTTGGTTTGCAGGGTCTGTGTTTTTAGGGCAGTGGACTCCAGAGAGTGTGGGGGACTATGCTAGTGGGACGAATCATGTGCTTCCCACTTATGGGTATGCACGGATGTACAGCGGGGTGTCTTTGGACTCTTTTTTGAAGTATATAACCATCCAGTCTTTGACAGAGGAAGGCCTTGCAAAACTTGGACCTCATGTGGCAACCATGGCTGAAGTCGAAGGCTTGGATGCTCATAAGAGGGCTGTTACTCTTCGCCTTCAGGACATTAAAGCCAGACAACAGGTTGTTTGAGCTTTCGCGGAGTTGGGTTGTTTGTTTAGAACCCGTGTTGTTTGTTTTTTGTATTGGAAGAATGTTCAATTTTGAGTTTGGATCAATCATTAGAACCCATAAATTTCAATAATTATGCATCTTTTCTTTATTATTAACAAAATCCAATCCTACGTATTTGGTGCTGTTTCTATTTAACTTTAAGGGATTTAATCCAGTAAGATACAAAAATCATGGCTTCATATAAAAAAGGGAAAATGACATAAATGCCCTACAAACTTTCTAAGGTTTACCCATTTAGTCCTTAAAGTTTTTGTCGGGCTTTATGTGTAACACCCGGTTCTGGATTGCTTCGTTGCTGGGGGCTGCGGGCCAATCATCAGCAGTCAAGAGGCTTAAGGCTTCGGGAAAGGAAGGATTTAGCCCATTTCGGATATAGTTGCCATGGTATAAGCGGTCCAAGTATTTGATCGTGTTTTCAGAAGCCAAGGGTGTAATAGTAATTTGACATTCCGGTCTTTTATGGATTTTGGATTTTAGTTCGGTTGGCTTTCAGGCTAAATAAAGTTGATAGAAGTGTAGGGCTTCTCGTTAGCTTTCCGTGAATATAAAGAACGTCAAAATCGGACTTATAACGAAGAAGTTATGGCCTTCGGAAGTTTCATGGTTTTCAGGCTTAGCCGAGTACGCGGGGCGTACACAAAGCGTACGCAGGGCGTACTAGTGAAGAAGGCAGTACGCGGGGCGTACCTTGGAGTACGTTGGGCGTCCCTTATGTACGTCGGGCGTACGCCAGTCAGATCAGAACCCTATTTTAGGGTCTTGGACCTTATTTAAGCTCCTTATCTCATTACCTAACCCTAATATCTTCAGCCTTCATCCCTCTAAACCCTAGAAATCGACCCATAGCCCCCATTTGAGTGATTGTAGAGCTTTAAAGTGATTTTTGTGTGTTTTGGTGCTTGAGGAGGAAGAAAGAACTTCTTGAAGAGTCATTGTTTGACTTGGAGCTTTTGGATCTAAGCTTTGTGCACCTAGATCTATCTTCTGGAGGTATAAAGTCTTAACCTTGACAACTTTTTCATGTAGATCTAGCTAAGTGGTACATTGTTATGGTTTTGGTCCCTTGAAGTGGTTCTTGTGAGTAGAAGTTACTCCAGAACCTTTGAGCTGCATATTTGGCCCTTATTGAGGTTATGGAGTCATAAAGTTTGGATCTTGATGAGTATAAACCTTTCATGCATGATTTGGTAGTCATTTGATGAACTTTGGGACTTAGGGTTTTGATTTGGTCCCCATTGAGTTATGCTAAGTCATAAAGTTGGAAACTTTATGACTTAGGAAGTCCCTTGAAATCAGATCTGGAAGTTTGGACTGAGGTCTTAAGGTATTAAGAGCTTTTAAGACATTTTGGGAGTGATTTTTGACCTTTTGGAATTCATCTTTGGTGTTTGGGCTTCATTAAGCCATGCAAAGGCTTAAAGCATTCGACTTTATGGATCAAGTCACTTATATTTGGCTATTCTGAGATGTTGAACGTCTTGACTTAATGGATTAAGAGATAGAATTGAAAGTTGGTCATCAGGAGGAGTACGCTGCGCGTACAAGCCTGTACGCGCAGCGTACTAGCTCTTAAGCCAATACGCTTAGCGTACAAGCTGAGTACGCCCCGCGTACTCAGCAGAGTGGGGTTTCGGATTTTGGGCTTCAGTTTGGGCCATCTGTTTGGGCCTTGATGCTTGGGCCCTAATGGACTATCTGAGTAGTTGTATTCTGGACTAATTTGAGGATTAGACCTTAGGATAAGGCCCATGAAAGAGTTTGGGCCCAATTTGGAAAATTGGGCCATTAGTGGGCTTTTATGGATTTTGGAGTTTTGGGTTGATTGGTTTTGGGCTTGGTCCTTAGTTATGTATCTTGTTGGGCCAGAGGTAAAATGGTCATTTTACCCCAAGTATGGATTATGGATCATGGTATAGAACCCCAATTGCTAATTGGGTGATATTTTGGTATTGATAGCTCGAGGAGTTGCCAGGACAACAACTAAGGATTTCTTGCAGTGGACTTCAGCAGCATGAGGTGAGTTACCTTCCAGTAGAATTGGGTCTAAGGCTACAATGCCGGCCCACTAGTAGGAGTTGTTTGTTAGATGATTGTCTTTGTGATAATTATCTGGTATGTCATTATTTGTTATGTTTGTGTGCTAGGATGCTACGTGATACATGTTAGTAGTAGTAGGGGTGAAATAGTCCCCAGATACCAATTGAAAGATACCGAAGGGGGTCGTCAGAACCCATGCATGCCTAGCAGTATGTTTATGCTATGTTATTATATGGTAGTGGTAGGGGTAGGGGTGAAATAGTCCCCGTTATCCGGTTGAAAGAGACCGAAGGGGAGGCCAGCACCCAGATATGCTAGCCAGTTATCCGGTTGAAAGAGACCGAAGGGGAGGCCAGCACCCAGATATGCTTGACAATGTATATGTTGTATGGTATGTGGTATGATGGGGGAACTCACTAAGCTTCGTGCTTACGGTTCTCAGTTTTGGTTTCAGGTACTTTGTTTTCAAAGGAAAGGAGCCGGCGATCGCAACGCATCACACTATGATTTTCCGCACATGAGATCTTTGGGATTACACTCTGATATTATTTTATGATAACATGTTCTGATTACTGACACTTTGGTCTTGACATGTGATCTTGTTATGAATGTTTTTATACTGTTGGTTTTATAATAACTTAACTAAAAACGAAATTTTTGGTCTTGAATTTTGGGATGTTACATTATGGGTCCCTAAACTAGGATATGACATGCTCTTTTAGTCCCTGTCAACCTGTAATAGCCGGTTCAGTGACCTTTTAGACCAAAAAACTCACATTGTGCCCCTTTAAAGCAAAAAAAATAAGTTCGGGGATCAAATGGTCAAAATGTTGTTTCAGTTAGGAGATTTTGAGTGCACTATTTCACCTGGTTGACAAATGAGTGAAACACTTGATAATCAGATTATTATTTTCATTATCACTTAAACTTGTATACAATGAGATATAAAAGTATAATTTAATGGTAATAGTAAATAATTGTTATTTATATTACATACCATCTCTATGGTATGGTAAATATGATATGCTTTTCCTTTCGGTTATAGTACTTCCTCTGCTTCTTTGTAAACGTCCAAAAGTTCTTGATATATGAATTTCATGTACTCAGGAAGTGTATCGATGTAGCTTGCCAACCATCTATATACATTAATTAAAATGGTCAAAATGTTGTTTAATTTAAAGAATTCTGGGAACTACTATACGTATCGTTGGCTATTATAAGTAATTAATGCATACCACATACATTTGAACAGCTTGGGTGAACATCTCAAGCTCTTCGTATGTACCATAGTTATCATACGTGTCATCCAATATGATAGCAAGATTGCATGTTTTCATTAGAAAAATCCTAGCATCAGAATATTGAGGCTCAAAATACACTGCCAATATCCAAAAGTAGCCTTCTACCAATCTGTCGCGAACATAAGGTAGCCTGTTTTCTAAATCCAAATTCTTCCACCATCTATTTAGACACATGAAGGTGCATGGCCCGCCATGAGAAGAATTAAATGAGTAGATTAACAAATTAAGGACACTAGTTAATTGGAGTGATTGATTAAGTGCATACCCTTTGATCTAATCAATATGATTGGTCTAGCCAATATTATTACCAAGGTTTCACTCATTCTATGTCCATTTACATTAGAAAACTATAGAAGTTGCTAGGTTACGTACTTGTTGATTTGGCTGAGCTCCTTTTTGTGCAAGGATTGAAGTAAATTGAAATCCAACATGGAAAACCGTAATAAGGCTTCATTATGGGAAGCTTCTTTCTGATAGATATGTATGTAATGCATGGCCGGTTTAGAGCATGGTCAACCTATGCATTGGCACAGGGCCCAATATTTTTAGGGGCCCATATTTTTTTAATGCTATACACTTACGGGCTGGCCAAAGGTCGAAGGAATGAAGACCTTGTCGATCACCCACTAGACGCATCGCCAGAAGAAGCACCAACAGAGGCGGAGCTACTTGGAATCTCGAGTAGTGCCTCCAACCTACAACTTTAATACGTCGTATCCTTCCCTCCTGTGCTGCCTGTGGCTGGCGATTTTTTTCTTCAGAATACGTCCCCTGCCATTGTCGATCTCGACTGCACCACCTCCTGTAGTCCTCTTCCATTGGCGATTTGTTATTAGGTCGTTATCTCTTCACAGGCCCCATCACACATTACTTACGATCACAACAAGATTGTCGTCATTGGTTCTCCTCTCTGCCACTGCTTTGCTCGTGATTTTTAAAAGTTTTATGCACCTTTACATTTTGACCCAAAATGAAACTTTTGGTATGGATTGCTTTCTTACCCGCTCTCTATATATGTATCATATCCCAATAATCGACTCAGTTTTTATTGTGTATAACTGTATGAGTTAAGCAAGTCTTTATATGGCATAATTTCAAGCAAATTACATGTTTGATAAAATGCCTGAGTGAATCCCTGTTTAGAAAGAACTTGAAGTTGCATTTTTTTTCTTCATAGATTAGAACTGAAGGCCCTAGGATCCTGTTTTTGAGTTGTTGGTTGTTTGTGGATCAACTTATCAGATAGTTCTTGCCCTCACTATTGAGTTGGTGTTGTTTTGTTGCTTTTGTTTAGGCCTGATCTGATCTGGACCTTTTTGCCCCTATCTTTTGCTTCTTTTGGTCCTCTGATACCTTTAGAGTAGGTAATCTTTTTTGGTTTCTTCCTCATTTGTTCATTTTTTTAGTGGTTTCACTATTAGGCTTTTTTAGTGTTTCTTTTTATTTGTAGTTGTACTGTTTGTTTGTTCAACCTCTAGCTGGATTTTAGAGTAGGTTGCCTTTGTTGGCTTAAATTTGGCATAAAAATTTTTGGTTTTTCAATATTTGTGTGAAAAGGGAAAGCAAACAAGTTAAAATTATGGAAAAAACAATTTTATTTATATAAATTACAGAATTGCTCCGTGTGTTATGTTAACATTATAGAAACTAGGAAAGAGACCATGCTTCGCATGGGTTGAAAATAATTTAAAGTTTCCTAAAAAAAATGGTTGGAAATAATTTAAAGTTTTCTAAAAAAATGGCACAAAAGTGACAATTTCCAAAAATATGTAACGACGAAATCTAAGAGTGTATAGTAGGGTTGGAAAAAGTATCGAAATAGAACAATGTTGGAAAAATAAGGGACCAAATTGACAATCGAACATACTTTTGTGGGTGAAGATTGTAGTTGTAAAAACTGAAGGGATTAAACTGTGAAGCCCCAAAGAGTGGTGGCAGAAATCTAAAAGTCTAAACTTTACTGTTGAAAGTTCTCATACGCTTTAATATTTATAATAGTACATATGTTATATTGAATTACAAAAATGCTCTCATGTGTTATATTAATTGCAATTTCAACATTACACAAATGGTCCAATGTGTAAAAAGAGTTTTAGTTTATATAATTTAATACTATGATTTTGCTAGGTTTATTGCTATAAAGTTTATCGTCATTTAAAAAAAACATTAGTGTATATAATTTAATTCGTTACACGTTATAACTTAAGGGCTTTTTTTTTCCGGCTCGTCCTGGGCATTTAAATTCTCATGACCGGCCCTGATGTAACGCAATGCCTCAAGCCTTGGCAACCTTTTCCGGAAAGGTTGTTCTAGTGCTTGTTCTATCTTGATCTTAAGAGATGAGTCCTTACACATATGATCATTTGCTATGTTTTTAAGTTGAAAAGTCGTAAAAGCAAGGGATGCATCGTAAAGTTATCCAATATTTACATTTTTTATAACATAACTATCACTTAAATCATTATATGTTACAAATTGATCCCCAAACTTATTTTTTTGGCTTTATAGGGGCACAATGTGAGTTTTTTTTGTCTAAAAGGTCACTGAACCGGCTATTACAGGTTGACAGTGACTAAAAGAGCATGTCATATTCTAATTTAGGGACCCATAAAGCCCGACAAAAACTTTAGGGACTAAATGTGTAAACCCTAAAAAGTTTGTAGGGCATTTATGTCATTTTCCCTATAAAAAAAGGGTGAGATAACTGTTTAAGAGGGTGTTTGGGATTTCATTTTGAAGTTAAAAATGACTTTTATGTAAAAAGATTTATTGACTTATCAATGTGGGAAAAGGAGATTTTAAAAAAGTGTTTGGTTTAGCTTTTTAGTGACAAAAGTCAATAAGTTAAAAAGTGTTTGGCTAACTTATTGACTTTTGCTTGTTTTTTATTCTAATAAGTTATAAGTCATTCCAAAAAGTCACAAATTGTAACTTCTTCAAAACTCTTTTTCAAATACTAAACCAAAAGTTATTTTAAAAGTCTTTATTAAATATCCAAACACTTTTTTTAACTTATTGATTTTTCAAAAAGTCAATAAGTTAAAAAGGAGATTTTAGATGAAATCCCAAACACCCTCTAAATCCTGACTTTTTAACAATTTCTACTTATTTATTTTCCTTCCATTTGGCCAAGTGTATCTTGGATTTCTCATATTCTTTCTAACATTACTTATCCGTACAAAACTGAAAGAAAAATTAAAAAACATTGCCAGTAATGAAGCTAAAACTTGATCTCAAAATTTCTTTTCTGGTTCTAAAACTAAAGCATGATACATATATTTGAGCTCTAATATAAAAGGGGAGGGGAAACCCATCTTGTTCACCTACATACATACATGATTCCAATCCATAATGATTCCATCATTAAATCAAACATGAAAGGACATGGCAGGAATATGAATGATATCCTCAAGCTTTCCAAACTCGTACTGATCCATCCACAGATGCAGTCATGACACAGTTATCTTTTGGGTGATAACTAACGCTTGTTACCTGCCAACAAAAAGTAGAATTTGTTTGGTTACTAGTCTTACCCAGAATACCAATCTACTTATATTTTTATCTCATTATTACTATTATGTACATAATAAATTTAGAAAGAAAAGATAAGGTGTTAGTTACCACTGAGGAGTGAGCACGGAAACTTGAAACCACAGATGCATCCACCAGATCCCAGAAAAAGAGACGCCCATCTTCAGATCCACCAACCACATGAGCATCACTGTTGGTAAGACAGCAATCCATTTTGAATGACTGGGTCACAACACAAGTTCAAAACATTAGTTACTTACTCTTAACAACCTATTACCTAACAAAAAGCAACTCAAAAAGAGATACATACCTTGCATGTATGGCCTTTATATTCTTGTAGTAATTCACCACTAGTTCTGCAAACCAAACCAGAAGAAGAACAATTTTTATAACAGACTCATCCATCCTTTTGGTTAAAAGAGATGTGAAGCACAAACTCACCTGTCCAAAAGGCGCAGAGTAGAATCCAGACAACTGGCTAATACACAGTTACCATCATTTGATAGAGAGATACAGTTTACAGGTTGCCCCAAATCATCAGATAATTCTCTGGAAACAGAAGAAACTTCAAACTTCAAACATGCTACAAAGTTTTTCATTTCATAATCATCATGATTGTCACATGTCATACCTACCTACCAATCCGGATGTCAAATGTGCGTACAGTTCCATCAACACTTCCAGCAATGATTTCAGTTTTTGTTAAACAAACAGACATAACGCTGTCTAGAAAGGTGTCAATGATCTGTGAATCAATTAAAACTATCATCAACTTTTGATAATATAAATATAAAAATAACTTAGCAGACAAGTAGATGTAAGAAAGGGAAAGGGAAAGAAAGCTAAACCTGAATTGGCTCAGTGCTGTGAGATCTACAGTCCCAGGCACGCAAGGAACGATCATACCCTGCTGATACAACAACAGATGAATATTCATTGAACTTTACAGCATTCACCTACATAAAAATGGTGTTATGATTGTGAAATTATAAATATGTGTTATGTGATTGATAAATTGGTTTGTTAGGGAAATTACATACCTCACTGTCGTGACCTCGAAACTTTCTGATCACACGCCCAGTCGATACATCCCAATAGAAGACTTGACGATCACCCCCACATGAACAGATTTTTGAATTATCCCTACAATCAAATAAATCATAACAAGGAACATTCAGCCGAATAACTAGGGTTAAGTATAATGAAGAATAATAAGAAAAAAAAATCATCGGAGGAATTTCTATGTGGATGAATGAACACAGTAGCGAGGATAACTTACGGTGTAACGTGGACGTCTCGAACTTCACGAGCATGGGCTTTGTAGGTCTTAATATGAATACCCCGGTGAGGATTCCATAGGCGAATAGTCCGATCTTTGCCTCCGGTGAGACAATAATTTCCATCTTTGTTGAACCTTGCCGTTAAAACTGCACCTTCGTGCCCCTTCAACACCTGCGCCTCGTTCTTTGGTAAATCTTCGGCGCTCATCCTACTCCGGCGACCACCGTCACTGGCACTGCTTCATTCACTAGTGTAGGTGAGTGAGCGTTACAATGGAAAGAATTTGGACCGGCCTGGTACCTATGCAACATGGGCTCTTGTCACTTGTGGACTTGTGCCTTATGAATTGTGATATTTAACCTAGGCCAAAAATTGGCCCAACATACGTTGTTTCTTGGTTTTCTTTGTTTTTTATTTTTATTTTCATCACATTATTTTTTTTATTTAGTATTATTATTGACTTTACTCCAATGATGTAGATGCAATGTCAGCGTGAGGTATACCTAAATGAATAATGTTACCTGTTTACTCGATTGAAATATACTCCAATGATATAATAAAAAACTAAAAATGCGATCTAAAAAAGTAAATTGCTTAATATAGATTGTTATAATAGATAGATCTTTTTTTTTCTAAATAAACAAATTACATTCTATGATAAAAAAGAAAGTTTTACATAGACGTAACGGGTAAACGAGCAACAAGCTGTGCATCAACCTTTTTTTTGGATGACAAAACTAATTCTTTTAAAAACAACATCTATAGAAATTGGAGTCATAACATTACTATGCATGACCCGTTGGACTCTATTGAGTAGCTCCACAGCTCCTGGAGCAAGGAAACCGAAAGTATCAAATGCAAAGGGTATAAGCGTGTGTTGATTTTCCATGCACGTTTTCTCATGTTTTGCCACTTTGTTTGATGCAGCTTTTAAAACAGTTTGCCCCACAGTGAAAACCTCACTCCCCAAGCCCACAAGAGGGGAAACCCCTGTTAGATCCACACAT